CAAAGCCTTGCAGTTTCAAATACTGACCTTGCAGACGACTGGAAATTTTCCTCAGGCTATAAAGTCTCTGGTGTAAGATAAAGATTTGTGGCACAGCAAGGTTGCTGGCTCTAGGACAGACTAGTTACTGATTGATAGGAATAGATACTGGAAAATGTTGGAGGGAGAAGGGATGTTTGCTAAGATTAAACTTTTGTTGATAGGACCACTTAATTGCCTTACTGGAATGTCATCTGGCTTGTTTCACTGAAAGTTACCAGCCTATACTGTTAAACGATAACCCCACCTATGTTCTCTTCCTGTAACTTCCTGGTCTGGAAAATAAATGCAGGAAGAGAACCCCAATTTGGGGTTAATTTCCCAAGGAAGGGATGCCTTTCACAGGAGAGTTCTGGGAGATTAACCATTTTGGGGTCTCTTGTTGCTCAGGAGAGATGGGCTTTGAGTAATCCTTTGTGGCTCTATCACCCAGGGGAAGTGGGGTGACAAATCCGTGGGGGGCAAAGCAACACACCACTGTGCAGTTCTTCAAGATTACGTTGTATATTCTTCACTTACAAAGAAGACATCTCGGTTCTCAGGACCAGTTCAGTGTGTAAAACTGTTAGTCACTTACCAGTGGCACAGGTCATAGAGCATCTCCTTCAAATCCTAGCTACTCAAGAAGAGAAGGGGTCCTCATCTAGGCAAGCTGATTTTTCTCAGCATGGTCTGCACTGGTATTGATATGGTGAAGAGAGACTTTGGCCAGTCTGTTTTGTTGGCAGCTGTTAGGCCTCATGGCCAGCTTAACATCAGCACAGCAAGGTTAAGCAACTTTCCCCCTTCTCTCCCTTCCCTTTCCCTTTTCTGCTCTGGGAAGGAGCAGCGAAATTACTGTCCTGGGAAGGGGTAACCATGACTGTTATCATCAAAGGAATGTCTTGTGGGCTGTGGTAGCCAGCTTCAGGCTGGAGCACTTTGCGATGCTATAGTAGTGACACTAATTAGAAGCCTATGCCCTAACCAACCAGGTGTTAGCAGAGAGGACAAGCGCTATGTCACCTTATATAGCATTGATTTCGAAGTTGCCCATTACTCTGCCAGAACCTTCAAAGGTCTGTAAATTCCTGCTTTCCTTTCTTTGGGGGAACTGATCTGACACAGTCTCCCCTTCACATTAGTGGAAAAAAACTTTTTGGCTGAAATGGCACCTGGCTTGGGTCTCTCTCTCCCTTTTCTCCATCTCACTGAACCTAACAGCAGTGATATTATTACATCTACTTGGTAATGTAGAAAAGCAGCTCACCAGATGCTTTGGCTGTCTGCTGGTGCTGCAACTTGTGTGCAGGGGGATGATGAGGTGAGCTGTTAAGGACATCTGGTGTGCAAGGGTCCAATGTTTTCCACAGGTGATGCGAATGTCCTTGGAAACATGACTTAGCTGTTGGACTATCTGGAAAGGTAGCTTTAACCCTTAGGTGTGCTTGTCGGGATTAGTTTCGGGGAGCCTGTTGTGGTGTTACAGCTCCTAGATGTTAGGACTCTTGCTGGGACCTCAGAGGTCGTGGTCATATGACCAACTTTATATAAGCCAGGGAGGATCCTTTCTTCTTTCTGGCCTCACACCCAGCTACACAACCCTGCTGGGCCTAGTGCCACCAACCCTATCCCACCAGCCAAGCAAGGCCACTCTGCTCTCTCCCTACAGATGCCACTTCTGGCCAAGCCAACACCCCTCCTCCTTAAGCTTTTTACTTGGACATCTATGAACAATCTTTTAAAGAAACAATAAAAAATTTTAAATGTTTTTAAAAGCTTATGGGTGGGCCTAATTAAGGTCCCCTTATTTTAAAATGTACCTTAGCCCTTCCAAGACCCAGAGCCTCTCCTCAAAATATTCAAAAGACAGATAATGCCTTAAGAGCTGGCAACAGTGGGTCTAGATGCAAATGAGGTACAACCTGCATATCTGTCTGGACATATTCTTGGGGCTCCCAACCTTTTGTTTGGCTGCCCGCACATGCAGGCCCTATAAATCATGTGCGCCCAACAGATAGAAAGTCCAGCCAACTTCTCAGAACAAAGAGCCAGACAAACAAGAAAGCACATAGCTGTTCATGGGAGGGAAAGGATCAGTCTTTGGAATATTCTACACCAGGGCCACTGTAATTCTGATAATATTTTTAGTAATATTTTGCCACTTTTGTAAGTATTTGCATCTTCTGCAGCCATAATTTTTTTTTTTTTTTTTTTTTTTTGGTGGCTGTTGGGTATAGGGAACCAAACCCTTGACCTTGGTGTTACATAATTCCTATACACAAAAACGACAGACATACCAGAAGGCAGAGTACTCTGATCTTTAGAAATTGGGATCCCATTCTTATGTTGAATCTTGGTTTTTTTAGAGCCAAGATGGCTTTGGCTCTGAGATCTCCCCACCAAACTTAGCCAATGATTTTCCAGTTTCTGTCTGACCCAGTCGGACACCTGAGGCCCCTCCTTACCCAGGTCTGCAATATTAAAACTGCAGCCCTTTTTGCTGGTGACTCATCAGCCACTGCAAACCCAAAGGTCATGTGCCCTGCCACAGCACAAACTAACCCTGGGTATCCCAAAGCCAAACGAATCAGGGAGCTCAAATGCAAAGAGAGCAAAGCTCAGACCTGAGAGGGACTCACAACTCTCAGGGCTCCATGAGGAAGACAGTGGTCCCCAAAAGGAGGGGTTAGCAGTGTCTTTTCTGTATTCCTCAAAGGGTCTTGGGGTGGTCAGCAGTCCCCTCCACATTGTTACTGGACTCAGGTTCGGCTGCCTGCCCCCTTGAGAAGGAAAGGAAAAAACCCTCAGAAGTCAAATGGTTGGTGTTAGAAAAGCAGACGCATTCAGCTGAAGGAGATGGTAGGCTGTCCCATTGTCGTGAGGCGCCCTCCCACAAGAAATGCACTTACACGCCACTCGTGCAGAAAAGGGTAGTTGATTCACTCCAGCTGGCCAGCATCCATCTCCCAAGGTGCAACCAAGGAAGAGTGGCGTCGGGCTTTGGTCTTGTAGGGTTTTTAAAGGAAAAAACTACATCCCATTGTCACACGGGTTTGTCCAGGTGCACAAAGACAGCTAGGGAGCTAGGTCACAGAGGCCGAGAATGAGCCGTTCGAAGAACCGAGCATACAAGTTTTCACTGTGTATGGTTCCTGTTCCCATGTAATAGTTCACTGTGTATGGCTCCTGTTTCCGTGCAATTGTTTTTTGTTTCTATCAGAAGGTCAGCAGTTTCTCATGCAGAAGGGGGGATAGTCTGCAGGTCAGACAGGGGGCAAAATGGAGTTACTTAAGTTAAGCAAGCAATCCTACAGAAGCAGATAGCTACGTTATGAGGGTGTAGGGAGCTCTATTTCACCATCCCAAAGACTTACATTTAGTGAAGGGTTTTTAAAGGAAGGGTTGAGGGAATGGAATGTGGGAGGTGAAAAGCAGGAGAGAAGGAGAAGTGAGCTATGACGGGTCCGTGTCCATGGGTCAGGTACAAGGTCTCGCCAAGGCCTCATCTGGTTTCTGTTCTCGTCTTCGCTGTCATCTCAGGACCCCGCAAGATTTCGATTTGCACCAGTGTATTTGTCTGGTGCCCCAGGCCAGCGTCGGTCATTTGGCCTTGATCATTTCTCAAAACTTTATAAGTTTCAAAGAAAGAATTGTTAGCTTTGCAAAGTACTAATTAGCTTCTTGGCCTTGTTTTCCTACTTAGTGAGTGAGATAAGAAAGTCAGGGGATGGGAAGCAAGAGTGGAGAGAAAAAAAACTGTCCTTTTTCAGATCCTACGCTCCTGCACAGTCCAGGCAGTTTTAGGTCCCAACATGGCTTCAGTCCTGCTCACTCCAATAACATCCCCCTGTGGTCGCCAGAACTGTCAAAGGACAAAACAACAACACATTTAGTTAAAGCAAAGCAATTGGCTTGGTTGTGATCCATTTCTCAAGATATTCACAAATAAAGGGCCCATAGGTAATAAACACAAAACCAGCTGGGACAGAAAGAGAGATGCACCTTCCAGTTTGGAAGCTTCATTTTCCATTACAGCTCTTTCAAGCCAGGCAAGCCAGTGGGGTGGATCTATGTGCTGCTTATGGGCATCGCTCCTCTGGATTTCACCCTGGAGCCACTCATCCCTCTTACCGGTCTCAGTCTCCCCAAAATGCCTAAACAGTCGGGTGCTTGCAGGCCTAATCCCCACATCATATCACACCTCCCGGCCAAGCAATAATTTTAACATTATATGGGTGTCCTATAGGACCTCTGCACACTGGGCAGGAGTGTCCCAGCACTTCCCAAGTTCCAGTTTCCCCAGAAAGCCACGTGGCCAGAGGGAGCCAGTGTCCTCTTACCTTCGGAGCAAGAGTGCTCTCATGTAGTTAGAGAAAACTAAGGAGAGACTGTCTTGCATGAAATTGCCCAGAGAAACCAGATTAGGAGCTACCAAATTAACCGTGCCCAAGAACCGAGAAATAAGACTCGCCTTGTCATTCAAGGCAGGACCTCTCACTCTGATATAGTAAAGACCCTCGGAAAGGGGTAACCAGCTCCAATAAACTGGAAGCTCAAACTAAATACGTTAGTTTCGTGGATCTGAGAAGAGGCTGACCAGTTACACCCAGTGGAGACCCCAAGCTAGTGGACCCAAGAGGTCCTTTGGTGGTACCCACCCGAGAGCGGGGGGGTCCACCAGGTGGTCGAGGTTCCTCCTTCGGATCCTGTTCACAGCGCCAGTCTTGTCGACTGCAATTAAGGCTTTCGAGGCAGAAATAATTTTGTGAAGTTTACTGGGAGCCAAATGTGAGGATTGACCCGGGAAACACCATCTGACACAGTTGGAAAAACGCTCAGCATTTGTCTGGGAAGTTGAGGGAAGGAAAGAGATGGTCAAGTGATGGTGGGAAAGGGTCAGCTCCCTGCTGCCTTCTGCTCTAAGAACAGCTTCCGGCACTAAGACTGTCCCGCCCATACTTGCGACCTTAGAAAGGGGTATGCGGGGGTCCGGCGCCAGGTCGGGGTCACCACCCGGCTCTGGGCCACCGCCAGGCGCCCTAGCTGGGTAGGGCACCTCTCTGGACTCGGTGTCCCCATGTGACCAAAGGCACTGGCGAGCTGGAAGCTCAGCTCTTGGAACGTGGCCCTTTACCCGTTGCTCCGTTTAGCCGAAGAGCCTTGCAGGGCCAGGGGCAGATTCGGACCCAAGCCCAGGTGCAATACTTACGGGTTGTCTTTGACTCCTTCTTTTCTTCCCATCAGAAGCTGCATCAAAGGCCGCTGAACCGCACATCACAGCCACCGGCCGGGTCCAACAACTACCCAGACTCCGGGGTGGCGCGGTGCGTGATGGGGCCGCTGGCAGACCGGCCTGGGAGGCGGGTCAAGAGTGCGGATGGCAGGGCCTGGCCGGCTCGGGGCGGGGACTCGGGGCGGGGACTCCGGGCGGGGGGCGGGGACTCGGGTCAGGGATGGGGCCCGCTCGGGGCGGGGACTCGGGGACTCGGGGCGGGGCCGGGCGGGGGGCGGGGACTCGGGTCAGGGATGGGGCCCGCTCGGGGCGGGGACTCGGGGACT